AGTCTGAACATGTCAGCATGAAGGAAAGCAGTGGGGTAGCTGAACACTCGCTTATGAGCTGAAAAGTAGTGACCACAGGCTAAAGGATTCCATGGAGATTGGCCCAAAATATCAGACCACAACTGCTATATCACCAGCTGTTAGAAAGCAATGGCAATAGACATCTCATGCTTTTTTAACGTGGCAAAAAGAAATGGCACCTTTGGGACTAAAGTATAGGCAACCTGAGAGGGCAGATAAGAGCCCTGCCCACTTTCACGTCCCAGCTTTCATGCTGGCCTGCCCATACATCTTAATAGGTCACAAATGTTTGGTGCTATTCAGGTCTCATTATTTTATTCAGCGAAGTAATACCTTCTTTTACTCACTGAAGAATAATAATATGATAAGTTATCTGGACACAAGAGCTCTACTCAGAGCACCTAAAACAACTACCTTATACGTACCACTGAAAAAGCGAAGCATTTGCTTGAAACCCATGAAGTGAACCAGAAAATTCCAATAATCTCTTCTGCATGGCCTGCCTTTATGCGTACTCCAGTGTGAGTTGCCAAGCAAGTAATTTTTCAGTATGGAACTTAAATTATGGTATCTGTATTTCACACAAAAATCTCACCACTGCTCATAACATTTTTGCTAATTATCCCAGAACTTTAAAGGGTATTTTGATTTTAAAGTCATAAAAGTAAAAATTTCAGGAAGAAGCGGGATGGTCATCTATCTGTCAGGTAAAGATCCCTGTGCCAGATGAGAGCAGGAGTAATGGAGAATGAATTGGAGATCTTTCCGGTCTCTTTCAACATCGATTATATGATACCACACAGCTACTGAACCACAGATATAGAGCTTTCAAAAAACAAATATGATCTTATGCACAATTGTGCTAAATACATGAATAGCCCTAAATGAATGTAACACATGTAACTTTTATCTCAGGAAAATAATTTACTGATTTGCATACTGCTAAATATTTAAAAATTATACCATATATAATTTTTAGTCTCTAGAAGTCAAAATTTAAGATACAAGGACATGAAAATTATTTTAGGCTAGATGTGCAATAAACTCACCATTACCCACATGAATGATGACATGGCAGTTAAATAGGGCTCAAGTGATTTCCCCTGGACTTAAACACATGGCACGATTTCTGAGGCTTGTTTATTCATAAGCACTACACTAAGCACTTTATAAACATCTGTTATCTTTTCACTCCTAACAACATCTGTGATGAAGGTTACAGGGCTCAAAGTCATTCAGCAATTTGCTCAAGGTCATGCAGGTAAACACTAGCCATGCAAAGTACCACCTGCCTCGGGGACTTTCGGACTCCGGAGCCTTTCACAGTGCACATCAAGGCTTCTCTGCTTTCTCGTTCCCTTAATTGTAGACAGTACCAAAACTACATCTGTGGCTGGAGATTATACCCTTGATACGAGAGGGGGTCTCTGAAGCCTGCCTAGAAGACTATGGAAAATTAACTGGGGTTTTCAAGTGAATAAAAAAGCATTGACAAGGCCGGAGAAAATAGGTATATGCGTGCTGTTGGAGTTGTAAATGGGTTCAGTATTTCCAAAAGCTATCTGCTAATGGGAATGAGAGCTATAAAATTTGTCTTGCCCTTTGACTCAGTAATTTCAATCTTTGGAATATACCCCAAGGAAATAACAAAAAGAAAAAGGTAATTCGTTCAAGATGTTCATTCAGGGGCCATGTGTAGTAGTGAAAAACTGGAAACAACCAAAATTCCCAGTAATAGAACAATGACAAAGCAAACTAGGCTAGTAGCAAAATAAGAAGAAAACTTTATAATCCTCCAAATGAGAAATATAGAATACACTCATACGTGAACATAAGTTACGTGGTAACTTTATGTTTGAAACTAGAATACAAGTTAGTATAAACTCGTGCAACCAAGTAACACAGTATACGCACTAATAATAACGTGAAAAGTGTGAATTTATAAGACGTATATCTTCCTTTTCAGTGTTGAAACCCCAATGCCAGAACAGTAGTTGACATAGAGATTGTTTTTAGTGTGACTTTTAAATGAAAGCAAACTACAAAGATTGTATATTCGGATCTTGCCACAACAAGGAAGTCAGACACCATCACTTGCATTTGACAAACTCAAAATAGAGGGAGAAAGTTTTATGGTGAAAAAGGGAGACGAGTTTAGGTGTGCACTGGTTAGAGGTTGTTGGTACGGTGAAGCACCACACCAGCTAACGAGAATAGGATGTTTTGGGTAATTTTGGTCGAGAAAAACTACTTGGCTTTCTCTCACTGGCCCTGAGCTGGAAGCCTGCAGTGGTGAAGGGAGGGATGGGGCAAAATAAAGAAAGCTGGCAGCCACTGCCTGGGTCCTGACTGTTCTGGGCTGGTGGCTGCCAAGACTGCGATTGAAGTTTTGGCCTGGATGCTAAAGAAAGTGTAGGTCTCACTTTTATCGTCGCGTATGTCCACTGGCCGTTTATATATCCAATCCCTCGCTATTCGGTTATATATTTATTACAAAAGGGCGTAACTCAGGAACAGCCAGGTGGAAGAGAGATGAGCAGGGAGAGAAGGGTGCAGAGCTTCTGTTCTCTCTCTGATCCTCTCCGGGTACCAGCAACACAGAAGTTCCTCTGCATAACAGTTTATGGGCTTGAGTTATACAAAGGCAATTGTTTTCCCACGGAGACCGGCCTGTGTCTCACGCGTATCACTGAGCTGTCAGCAAAGGTTGATCTTTTATAAGGACTAACCAGGGGCTGGCTGATCTTCTGAGTTCTTTTGCTGTGTTCTCTCATATAATCTCCTCCCTCTTCTGAGAGGACGAGACTGGGGCATACAGGAGCAAAGGAATTTGCCTAAGTTGACACAGACCATGCAGAGATGGGATATCGACCCAGACAGACTCACTGTGTGCTACTATGCCATGTAGTCTTCTCGTATTTGGGAGAAGTGGCTAACTTTTATTCTTTCCCATTAAGCATTTCTGTATTTTATTTTCTATTTTTCCCCCTTCACCATTCCTAATTGACAACATATAGAATGCTTGCAGAGCATTCGGAGCAAAGAAACACTCAAATAGGGTTGAATTGATGAAATAAATTGCCTGGGAAAAAGTGACAAATATAAAAGACAATTTACAATCTCCTAGGGAAATGTTAAATGTAAAGTTTATGTTTTATACTTGCCTAATAGCTTATATTTTACAGTGTTTTTATGCATGACCTCATTTAACTCTCATGACATAGAGTGGTAGATAATATAGCTGACAGATGAGGAAACTGAGGCAAAGTGGGTCTCCACACGCAGCTACCCATCACTGGTCAGCTCAGTAGTTTTCAATAGAGCTAAACCTTGGTGCTGCACAAAGCCCTACACAAACTTTCCTTTTCAGTCACTCAGACCTTGTGGAGACCCATCGTGTAAGTGTAAATCCACTGAGAGGAAACAACCCAAGCAAGAATGGAATCAAACAGAAGAGCTACATACGTAATGGGTTCCCTTAATAAAAGAAGCAGAGCAAAGGCAGCACTGCCGTCTAGGTATAAACTAAACTCTTTGGGGCATATTATGGTTATGTATCCATTATGTTCAGAAAGACCAACACAAATCCAATTTTTTCTGTCTAATTCATTACTAGAAGCACATTATCTCAGGATTGTGTTATATGTTACACAAACAAAATAAATTTTGCTTCATCTGTACATTTCATGGAAATATTACTATCATGAATGAGGTGGGTTACATTTTTACACATTGCTAAATGATATCTCTTTCTTAGCGGGTTCTTCCTGATGGAGGCCTATACTTCAGAGATCAGATCAAACACTACCACTTTCAAAAAAACCCTTCAGAGTTTCCAAATAAGAGTAGCTCTCCCTTTTCTGAGCACTTACAGCTATGTCTTAGAACATCCCTTTGCTCCCACCTTATGTAGTTTCTTTATGGCATAAACATTATGGATTTACTTTTACTCCTCCAATGACCCCAAGCCCAGTGCACCATACTTTGCAGTAGTTTGTTGAATCTCTAAATAACCTGAGTCTAGTCATCCTCTATGAGTTTGTAAATGTTTACTAGGATTTGGGCTATTCCAATTCTACCTTAGAAATGACCTTAATCAAGAGCTGTCTTCATTTACAAAACTTCTTTCCCTATAATCATGTTTTATGTTGACCTTTTGTACCAGAACATTTGCATTAATTTAAAGCATTAGTAATTAATACTGGTAAAAGATCAAATGCAGGTTAAATGATAAAGTGTTTTTTAATCAAATAGGAATATGGCAGTCATCAATTTTAAGCAAATTAATTTGAGACTTGCTGTTAGTATAAATTTTATAAATATCCAGCTAGATTCTATTCTATGCCATATAAAGGTCTGAGCTTCAAAGCTAGAACTTCAGTTATTTGAAGAGTCTTTTAATACAAGCTGGAAATAAACTACTATTGAAAGCACTTAAAATTTCAGAGCAAAAAATATATCACTTCTACTGAGTCCTGCTCTTCAGGGAGGGAAAATATTCTTTTTAATAGCAATTTACAATAACAATGACATAATGTTCATTTTATTAAAGTTTTCTTATAAGAACTAAGAAAACAATTCCTCTTTCAGTTATAAAAATACAAGAGAAAATGCTGCGGTTCTGAAACACCGAGATCTTCCTGTATTCCCTGCCTTCCCCTGGGCCATGTGTGGTAGGGCTGTGACCCTCCACTAAAAAGCTTACTTACTAGGAAGATAAAGAGCAGGAAATAACAAGAATACTACTGAGGCTTGTAATGAAAAGCAAGCTAAAAAAGATGAAGCAATTATTTTCAATTATGCCGCATTCTATGAAATATAAAAAATCTCCCATTACATTCTGTATAACATGAGAAGAGCTCTCTGATCCGTGAATGGGCTAATCGAACAGCTATTCACATAATTCCGGCCTTTCCAGGGAGAGCAGCAATCAATGATCAGAAAGGAAAGTACAAGTCATGCAAAGCACGAAATCTTACTTTCTCATCATCTTCAGTAAATGGAGCACCTTCAGGAATCTTATTTATCGCTTGTGCCACACCAATAATCTCACCATCACTACTTCGGATAGGCATACACAGTAGTGATTTTGTCTTGTATCCTGTTAGCTTGTCAATTTCATCATTGAATCTTCGATCCTAAAAATAAGACAAAGAAAGCATTAATTACAGTTCATTGTTGTCAGGGAAGAGAAAGAAGTGGAATTTTGCATTTGATTTTTTGTCACTGGAAACTTTCCCCCCTAGATTTTCAATACTAGCAATAGATTTGACTTCATGATTAATTCACCAATTGTTAGCCCTGATAAATGAATAAAGAGATGCCAAACTCAGCTGCAACATATCAAAATTGAGGAAGGGACAAGTATCCCATGGGAACCCCACACTATGCCATTTATTAAAATATATTTTTTCATAAAGACAACTGGATATGAAATAGCATACCAGAAAATACATAAAGAATATGTGAAACACTATGAAAAATATTCAGAAAAGAACTATTTTATTTTATTTTATTTTATTTTATTTTATTTTTTGGTACCAGGTTTGCCAGGCAGGTGCAGAGAACCATTTTATTTCTAAGTAAAATTATCCTGTGAAAAATGAGTCCACCAGGGTAATATTTCAAAATGCTCCCAAAAAGGGGAAGTTGAGGAAGAGATAAAAGGTTTCTCTATAGAATGCCTGCTTAAAAAGTAGAATGAATGACAAAATTATATAATATCTATTTTTCAACTACCAATACTATAATGATTATAAGAAAGGATCATCAATGAACACTAATACCTTTGGGTAAATGTTGTTAAGCACAATATTCACATAGTGTTCAAGTACAACCTGAAGATTCCTTATTAATAGCAATGGTAACAAGTACCTTATAATGAAGAGATAAGGCAGACACCACACTAAACAAATAATAAACTTAGTATGACCATTAATGAAGACAAGGATAACATCAATGTCTCCTGGTGCCATGGGAAAGACACAACCTCCCCGAGAACATGGGTAACATGTAACACAACCCTAATTATTCAGGAAAAGAAAAGTAAGAAACATGCAGATCATTGTTCATTCTATCTGACCCAGACTCTTCAAAAATGACAAAATTGTAAGGAATAAAATAAATAAGTAAATAAAAATAGAGCTATGGGAGCTGAATTGGATTTTTTAAAAACCTTAAGAGCTCTGGAATCCAAATATTCCACAAAGAAAATTTTTAATATTTTACAAAAAATATTTTCAAGAAACAATTGGAGAAAGTTGAACATAAACTCAATGTTGAGTCATTATCATTGTCTTAATATGAACTTTCTTAGGTTCAACAGTTCTGCTGTCATGTTGGAGGATACAGGAGGGGAGAGAAGAGAGGAAGGCAAAATACTGGTCCTAAAACTGCTCCAAGGAAGATTATAAATGGGATCTGAACTGTATACCTAAAATGTACCAATAAACTCAATGAGGAAAAATAATAAATAAATAAATAAATAAATAAATAAATAAATAAATAAATGGGATCTGACTTGCTGTTTCAAGCCAGGGACTGAAGTGTAGCTTCTCTGTCAGCCTTCTCTAGGGGATTCCACAGCCATCTGTTAAAAGAGGCTTAGAACACAAAAGCCAAAGCAACACTCTGTGGAACTAAGAATTTTGTCTGAGGTCCTAAAAAAGTTGCCTGTGGACACAGTGACCATCTCAAGACCAACTGCCCACATGCTGGGGCTCTGACTAGGTATGTGACATTTTCAATGTCACAAGGACAAGCGTCCTTAAATGCCATGATAGACCTGGGTCTGGCCTGGGGACCTATACAGACTACCCTAAACCCTCAGTCAGGAGGGAAGAACCCAAAAGGAGAGAAAAACTGAAGCCCAAACAAACCTAAATCTCCAGATCAAAATGGGTAGGCAACCAGTGTTTCAGAAAAATGCAATATATTAATTTTTTTAATTCAGCAAAGAACCATTATGTGTCAGGCTATAGACTAGGAGACACACCAAGAAACAAAAGAGTCATCCCTGCCTCATGGAACTTCCATGTGTTACGGTAAATGACACTAAAGAAAATAGCAAGGTGAGTGAGAGAGGGAAAATGATGGAAAGAACTTTTCTGAAAGTGCATACGAAGTCCTAAAGCAGAAAATACTTAGTTCCAAAGACTCCAGGCCAACGTAATAGCCTGTGGAGCCAAAGGGAGAATGAAAGAGGGAGGCAGGGACCTAATGCTGCCAAGTCCTATGGGCCTGGAAAAAATGTATATTTATTCATAAATGCATGAAAAACCATGAAGAAATTTGAAGAATAGTGGCATGATTAGAAGTCTCTGAAATCATCGTACTACTTTGTTTGTGCTTCCCCAAAACAGAATATAAGATCTCTGCCAGCAGAAACCTGTCTCTCTTTTTTACTGCTTCATCTTGGCATATTATAGGTGCTCAATAATTTTTAATAATGTATTTTTAAGATTGTACTGCCATTATGCAAAATACAGATAAGTGTTTAAGGCCCTGAGACCCCACCTTTCACTCCTTGGTGTGTATATAGACACACTTCTTTACATGTACAGAAGAGAGATACATGAATGTTCACTGTGATATTAATTATAAAAATAAAACTTAGAAAATCACTTGAATGTGGATCAATAAAAAAATAAATTATGACTTTTTGATTTGCTATCATACTTCACAACTTATTAATTTTACAATGAATAAACAAGAGTAGCATGCAACAGTATGAATATTAAAAACAAGCTGCAGTCTAGTACTAATTACAAAATACTACTGTTAGTGAGCTTTTGGTCCCTGGGACATAATACCTGGAACAACTTAAAGAAGAAATGCTTAATTTGCCTCACATTTTAAGCAGATTTATGCATGACTGGCTCCAAGCCAAAAAATATCATACTGAAGGGTGTGGTACAGCAAAACTGGTTAGTTTATGGTGGCCAGGATGCAAGAGCAGGAGAACAGCTTTGAGGGGTTGGGGGCAACCAGACTTAAAATTCAGGGCCATGCTCCCCCGAACCACCCAGACAAACCTGGAAGTGTGGTCTACCAATTCCCAGGGCAGATTCCAAAGCCAATGAATTTGAAACTCTTCCCTAGCTGCCTAACTAATATGGACTCATATCATAAATATTTAGAAAAATACTAAATATTATTCATGGTTTCAAATGTGGGGAAAATTATAAAAATACACATAAGAAATAAATATGAAGTGTATACTAGTAGTTGCTTGTGGAGAGGAAAGGAGGAAATGGCATCAGAGAGAGGTATAGAAAAGGCTTCAACTCTTAACAATAAAGTTTTACTCTTTACAAAAGCGATGCGGGAATGAGATGGTGGTTTTCTGGGGTGCCCAAAGAGGCTGACTTCTGCTGACATGGAACCCACTGCCAGTCCTGCCCACAAGCCTTGGACACACCGTTCCTGACTATATCCATGGAGAGCCTGGCAGAAAGTAGTCAGGGAAAGGCTTTGAAACCCTTGGCTTTAACTTTGCTGGGGTTTATTTTTTAAATGTGGGCAACTGCAAGGCCACTGCCATGCTGTGGAAGCTAAGACCTTTTTGACTTAATAGTTTAAGAATTGACTGTAATACTTTGCTCTGGTCTGTCATGCCATTCAACTGGACCACTGTTGAGACAAACGTTGTTGCCTAATCACATAATTATTTTCATAATTTAATCTTTCAGAGAAGGCTTGAGAGCAGTTATTTACAAGAAATTTCACACTGAATTCCACATTCTGGTGAGTTAATAGGATTGTTTCCCAGCTTCTCAAAAAACTCAAAGTGCAACTAAACACTAGATATGAGTTTTGCCTTTTAATTAACAATCTCTTAGAGAGGATTCAACTTTATGACTATGATGCATGACCAAACATCTTCTATACTTGTCCTGGTGATGGAGGACAAAGGGAAAGGCTGTTAATCCTTAAGTAAAGACTGCAAAAAATTAGACAGAATTTAATTTTGAAAACGCCTCCTTTATCCAGCTGATACCAGTTATGGATAGTTCTGGGGAAACTTTAAAATCACAAAATGTTCATATGTTACTCATATTACTAAGTTCTAAATCCTAAAAAGAAGAGCTTGAAAAACTTGAATATAGCGAAGTTACATTTAGGGAAATGGTTCCCCTTGTAGATGTATCAAAATATCACACATTCTAAAATGAGACATAATCCTCAATATGTTTATGTTACTCATCCTAAAATAATCTATCTAAAAATAGAAAATTTTAAAAATTATCATTTTCCACTGAGAGAATCTCTAAAATGAAGATGCATTCTATAAAGTTTTGTTCCAGCAGTAGGGATCAAACCCAGGAGTACTCTACCACTGAGCTACATATCTGGCCCTTTTATTTTTTTATTTGAGACAGAGACTTTCTAAATTGCCTAGGCTCATCTCAAACTTGCAAGCCTCTTGCCTCAGCTTTCCAAGCAGCTGAAATTACAGAACTGTGCTGCTGTGCCTGACTAAAAAATTTTTTCTAAAAAAAATAAATTCTGTATAATAAATATATTTGATTCATTTACAGGAAAGTATGTGAAGTACAAATAACTCAATATTAAAATTTCATAAGCATTGATAATCTCTTATTTAAATGTTTCAAATATTTTATTTAAAAATTAAGGCCATTCTTAAAAATGAAATACTTTGTGGTGGATGATTCAGGGTTGGAATATGAGCTTCCAGGTAGGAAATTTCAGTAGTGAATGCAAGGTGCAGAGATGGTCTGGGTTAAGAAAAAGACAACAGAGTTAAAAAGAAATAGACATATGTCAGAAGTTGAGCCTACTTTACTTCCTGATAGATTAGTTAAGGAGGGGAAACTAGAGAAGAAAAAGGAGGCTTAGGTTTTAATTTGAGAACTGTGTGTCAAGCCCAGTCTGGGCAACTTAGCCATTTTGCAAGATTCTCTTTTAAAACCTGAAAAAAAAAATGGAAGGACTGAGGACATAGCTCAGCGTGAAGGTCTTGGGTTCAATACATCAGTACCTAGAAGAAGGAGGAGGAGAGAGAGGAGAGTGGGGAAAGATAGAGAAAGAAACTGCGTGGATGCAAAGGCCATTTAATTTACTGGGATGGGGAAGAGTGAGATGAGGATTTAAGTCTATATATGAAGAGAGTAAAGAAGGTTGATAAATCAATTTATTAAGTAAAATGAGGTGTATTCCTTGCCATAACTCAGTGGTTCTCTACCCTGACTGTATGTGAGAAAATTACCAAAATGACCAATGCCTGAATTCCCATCAATTCTAAATTGAGTCAATCAATACTAAATATTGGAAATTTTTAAATACTCCTAATGATTTTCAAATGAGAACCACCGTTAAATGATACAGTTTATTCCTAGTGGGGTCAATAAAAATCAGTGAAAGGGAAGGACTTAAAATGAAGAACCAGGAGAGTCCTGGTGGCTAACATATCAAGGAACTGGATGGTGATCAACAGTACTTGAAAAGTCACCTGAGATGGGTATGGCATGTCTTCTTTGACATATGTGATCATCTACATCTCTGGAGAAGGATCTTTCCTGCACCAAAATTCAATTCCGAGTAGAACAACCACAAAGGCTATTGGGTGCTCATTACCAAAGCATCCAAAGTCATAAGAACAACAGACACGGGGATAGTTTGGCAAGACCAGGAGTCATAAAACAGCTATAATCCTCCCCATGATCCAAACAACTTTCTAGACATCCCTGGTAAACACATAACTTTGGAAGAAAAAAATTAAAGCATTCCAATATGTGAGCTAAGTATCAATCTTCCAATTAATGATCTGGTAAGTTTTATTCCATGAAGTCTTAGTTGTTTTTTGGGTTTTTTAAAAAATGTATCTTAAGACATGCTTGTCTGTGTCTTCACTCACTACACTAGTTATTCTAAAACTATTCTATAATTCTCACAAATTAACTTGAACGCTGATAAAATCAAGTTAATTTTATCTAGTGGAAGGTCAGAACAGCTGATGCAAGTGCATAATTTCCCCATATATGTCGATCTATATGTTAATATTCCACCTTAAATTGGAGAAAGCTGAGCCCCAAATTGATCCATAAAAAATAATTTCAGGATATGAAAAAGGTGACCTTAGAAACATATGACTCTGACATTATAGAGGGAAGGAAAGTCTAATCACAAGATATTAAAAACAGATTTCACCAGCCAAGTAATGAAAAGTGAGTGTAATAGGAACAGGAAAACAGGGCACCAAGGCACACAGCAGGGGCCCAACTAATGGAAGGTCAGGGAAAATCACCCAAAGAAAGTGAATTGCTCAAGCTGGTACCCAAAAAACCAGTAGAGTTATCTAGAAGGAGAAAAAAGGTAGGGAGAAGTGAAGAGAGTGTCCCAGAAAAAGACAAGGGTATATTCAAAGCTCAGAGAAAATAAAACGCTGATCGGATTTGAAAAACGGAAAGAAGCTGAAGACAGCATCCTGGGAAGAGTAAGAGATGGGGAAAGAAAATCAGCTGGAAGCTGACGAAGAGATGTCAGTGACCAGGGTTAGAATTAAAATTTTATCTTAAAGGAAGGGCTGTGAGGTCACTAAAGGATTTTAAGAATGTGGGTGAAAATGGTACATGTAAATTTTTACTTATTTATTTTGGTACTGGGGAATTGAACTCGGGACCTTGGGCTTGTGAGGCAGGCGATGGAACGTCTCAGCTAAATTGCCAGCCCATGAATCTTTGTTTTAGAAAGTCTGCTTCGGTTATGTGTGAAGAATGAATTGGAAGCAAAAGACCCAAGTGAAATACAAGTTATCTGTGGACTGGAACAGTAGTTGTAGCAGAACTAAAAGACAAGAAACTGAGTTGAAAGATATTTAGAAGGTACAATCGCTAGGACTTTCTAACTACTGTGAAGAAAGACTGCAAAAGACTGAGTGGTCAAAAACTATTCCACGTCACTGGTGTGGGACTCTGGGTGGGGGGTGCAGTGAGTCACTGAGCTAGGAGTCCATCTGAGGTGAGGAGCATGAGGATCCGGGGTATTTTGAGGGTTAGTTCACAATAGGCCTTTCACTTGGTGTTAATGCCAAAAAACAAAAAACAAAAAAACAAAAAAACAAAAAACAAAAAACAACTGTATATGTGTGTCAGTTTCTTTCTTTCTTTTCTTTTTCTCTTCTTTCTTTTCTCCCTTCCTTCCTTTCCTTTTCTTTTGCTCTTTACTCTTTCTCTTTTTTTCCTTCCTTCCTCTCTTTCTTGATGAGAACTATGACCTGTGACTTTTAAACTGAGCATCTTCAGAGGTTTTCCACATGCCACAAGCAAAGCATCACAGAAAGCCAGATATAGAGGAAACAGGACCAATAAAGAGGGCAGAATAATTGGGCTTTTCTTGTTGTTGTTTCTAAAAATAGAAATGTAAATGGAAAAATAGCAAATGCCTCTGGGTCTATGATGAAATACCATGAGGAGAATGGTGCTCAATTTTTATTCATCTCCCTTAGGACAAGAGAATAAGAAATGCTCTATAACAGGAGAGATTTCTAATACACTAAGGTAAGTGCTTCTTTATTAAGGTCATTAAAATCCAGAATGAGTTCCTTACAGTCGTGGTAGACTCTTCCTGCTTTGAGTATTTTTGTGTCATAATATTTTCCCTTCAGATATATCAACTACAGCTACCTACTCTTGAGACATCAATCATCTCGGTGCATTTTGTGCAGACCCATCTTTTGTATGTGGCACTCAGCTCTGAATTTTAACATTTAAAAAGATAGGGGCTTGGGATTTAGCTCAGTGGTTCTCCTGCCTGCCTTGAAAGTACAAGGACCCAAGTTTGATCTCTGGTGCCAAAAAAGCAAAAACAAAAAAAACAATAGAAGGCCAAAAACATTTTGTACTTTTTAGTAAAGAACTGAGCTGTGCCCTGTTCCTACAGGGCAGTAACTAGATAAATTTCTGACCAAGAATCTTGCAGCCTTGTCAACAAGTTCCAAAAGTGAATGTGATGTCACAGTTCATGAGGAGAAATGGTTCCCTGCCTTCAAGAGCTTTCATGGTATTGAGAAAAGAAATCAATATTCATTATGCTCGAGAATTCCTGTCACCCCTGCCCCAAAGAAAGATATTTCAAGAAAATGTACAGGAGCTGGGTGCACCGGTGATCTGCTATAAATAAACTCAGCACTCTGGGAGGCTGAGGCAAGAGGATCACAAGTTTGACCCTGGTCTGGGCAACTTAGTGATTTAATGAGATCCTGTCTCAAAGTTAAAAAAAAAAAATGAAGAAGGGAGGGCATGGCTAAGGACATAGTTCAGTGTGACAGTCCTACATTCAAACACCAGGATGAAAAGGAAAAAAGGCTTAAAGCAAAACTGAAATCCATCCCCTCTTTCCAGTTTCTCAGAGAAACCACTGCAGGTTCCTGACAGCAGGAGCCGAGTCTCAGGCTCACGGCTCACATGGGTTACCTAAGATCCCTTTTATCACCAAGTATTTAAGGATTGGATCTCCATCACCAGCACTCTATGGTAACATTTTCCTACATCAGAACTGGCCAGGAACTAGTCTTTGCTCATTAGCACATGTGTGTGATACATAATAATCACATGCGCGTTGAGGAATTGGTTCATATACATAATGCACCTTCATCATTTTTGCTTCCCGATCTTCTCTCCACCCTGCTCTCTCTGTCAATCTCCAAACTCCCTCCCCATCTCCACAAATAAGACCTAGTCTTCACCACTATTTGAAAACCCTCACGGTGACTTTTTAAATACTTTACGTTGGGTCTTTCATAGCTAAGATGCTCATATTTTTCAAGTCTAAGAACATCCACAGGATAGTACCTATGAGGGACAATGTAACAACGAAAGCCCTATTCATTCCCTGCTGCTTTCAAGTGAATTTGTATCTAAATTATCGTTCCACCAATTATGGAGGAAAAGCTGACAAAATATACACATACGCATCCAGTATTTCTGCAGTCTACAGACACTGTTAGGTGTGCCCAGCAAGGCGGCGTTCCTTGGCATCACTTATTAACGTTGGACTCATCCGTGGA